CTCCCAAGATCCCTTACCCTGTGTGCCGTCAAGAGAGGACCCTTCCCGAGACGGTTATACAAGGCCTCAAGACAAACTTTCATTTGGTTGGTCGGATCTAGGAATTCGCTCTGCAAGAAGAAGCTGCGCTCTCAGGGGGCTCCAAGCTACTCTGTGAGACGTGCCATGAGGACAACGAGGCTTCACATCACTGCATCGACTGCGGAAAGGATGTCTGTGCATATTGCCGCAAAACGCACTTAGGGTATCCAGTCTCCTCCAGTCATACGGTGGTAACTCTAGACAAGATTCGCCGAGGTAAAGACGTGCACAACCTCAAATCTCATCTGATGATCTCCGAGATGCAGCAGAAGTTAAGAAGGCACTCAGCAGCAACACAGCAAAGGCTCAGAAGAGGGTACAGGGCATGGTTACCAGGTCAAAGTTGAAGAGAATCAAATGCCTGATGAGACTGCAAATCGAACGAATGGATGAGTATGAGAAGACACTGACTGAACTACTGCAGAGAAAGAAACACTCGCTTAAGTCGGTTCCTGAAGTCAACAAGAATTCACCAGACGGTGATTTCCACTCACCAATGAGCCAGGGAATGGACAATCTAACCGGTCAGCGAACTCCCAAGATTAGGGCTCTGCAGTTGCATCCCATGTTTGTACAGAGGCAGAAGCTTGGCGTTGACCTTAGCAACGTGGTTCTGAAAGACACCTGGGAGTTGTGTTGAGCGTTTGACCGGCAAGGAAGCTGTGTACAGGAGTTTGAATCAGCCAAAGGTATCGCCTCTGCTGCTGCTGCTGCTGTACCCGACGAGATTGCTGTGGCTGACTGGAAGAACAAACGAGTAGTCATATGCACCAGTCAGGGGTATACTAATCGCACCATTCCAGTTATGGCAAGTCACCATTCCAGTTATGGCAAGTGGGTCTTTCAATGATTACTTTTGATAAGTTTGTTGATGCTGACAGAACAGACAGAGCAAAATAAATGAACATTTGCAATAGCTTGGAAAACAATGTGGAAAAAAAATTAAACCAAGTTAAACTCCGGAGTAGTAAAACTGTAAGGACCGCCAGCATACCTTCAAGCCATTAAACACTAAAAAAGAGTTGTTTAAAGAGGCATATTTTTATACTCCCATTTTAAAAACAGTGAAAAATGAAATATGCCTCTTTTGCTTTCTACGTAACCAATAAAAGGCAACAACATAATGCGGTAAAGCCCTTAAATGATTCTTTGGAGGCAACTTTTATATTGAACTCATGCATTAATAACAGTTAATTTGCAGACATCAATTGGTTATGATGCCCGTTTGTTCGTAAGAGTAAGTAAATGTAAGTGTTGTTTTATTATTATTATTATTCATTTTTGGTGAGTGCATAATTGTTGAAGGGTATAATGGATTTTTTGTTTAACCCTTCATGAGCCCGGGACGGAATCCGTCACTCACCCCCTCAATTTTTTTTTCCGATACTGCCGCAATGCATTTTTTTTTCAGAAGCTGAGCCCTTTAAGTGGTTGTTAGAGTTACTTTTTGAATTTTCACACCAGTTTGTTGAAAATCCGACACACCTTTTTTTTACGCAGGGTGTTTTTTTTTTAGACATGTCAGCCAACGATATATACTTTTTTCCACTGCAGTGCTCAATGTACGCGCCGGCACGCACGCGTTTAGCCTTGAACTTCAGATGACTGTAACAACGAATTGCTATGTTTGATAGAGTTCAAACGTACCATAAATAATTATAAGGAGTGTCCTGATCTGCTTGACAAGTTTCATAAACACTAAGAAAGGCACAGCCGAGTTCTTAAGGGGTAAAATGGGGGGTGCGTGTTTTCCCTGGGCTTTGGAATGTGTCAAAGTTAACTCTTCTCTTTTAGGGTTAAACTTAGCCTTGATCAAGGCGCTGTGCGATGAGTTTGACAACCCTGGCTGTCAGGCCTCCTGTACCTGCGTTGCAGTAGACTTAAAGTCAAGTTGTTGGTCGGTTGTGTTTTTCGTCCATGCACTGCGTCATTTCAAAATTAGTGCGAAGCCCGTTCACTGTTGCCCGCGATCCATCCAGCATGCCACCCGATCCTGCCCTTGCTCGGGGGCTGTTCAGTACTGGGTTTGGGCACACGTCGGCCCACGACCCAGATGCCAGCGTAATGATTTGATCAACCTCACGCTGGATAAATATTCATGAGTGCGACAATTGAACTGCATGATTCATATATTTCCATGTAAAGCGCCAATAGTCCCTCAAACTACAGAACAAGTCATCCATTTATTTATAGGGATGTGTACAATTGATTAGTGCCAGTTTCTTTCATATCTTGCATCCTTTTATTACGACGCTTAGAGACAATTATACAGAATTATTCACGAATAAATCTGTTAACTATCTTTTCTGGTAAGAGAATCAATGCTTTATGGAAAATCATCTTTTTTGATAATTTAAACACCATCTTCATTGAACGAGACTGTTGTTGTTGTTAATAAGCGTTTAACTGACCAATCAAACTGCCCCTGAAATAAATATTCTTGTTATCGGGATTCTTAACCAATCATAGTGCTCTGTCCAATTTTGGTAATAAGCCCATATGCTGCGCACAAAAGGGCTTGTATATTCTTCAGGACGGTATTTGAGTACCGTGGGACACACATTGGGGAGCGAGGTTCCACTGACCGTTCCCGTGTATTATGAAATTAAGCCCTTTTCAGACGACGCTGAGAAAAACTCGCAGGGCTTGAGATAAAATATCCAAGGGAGGATTATTTACTTTGCGGTTTTACGCTGAAGGCTTGTCTGTCCTTTCACACAACACAGTGTAACATTTCGCTGGCATCCCTTGAGATGCGAACTCTTTCTCCAAGGGTTGCTGGTAGACGGTACATTGATGACTAAAAAGTCACGAGTACCAATGCAATACGGAGGTCAAGGGTCAATTTTTGACAGTCGAGAAAAGTGCCGGAGGTATCACACGCGACTGACGTGGCTGTTGCCAAAAAACGTTCAAATAAAAAGTGATAAAAGTGATGGCGCTGAAAACCCAAAGAAAAAAAGGCTGAAAAGGAGGCATGGGAATATGAGGAAAACATTCAATTAAAAACAGCGATGGAAAATGCTGTGATCAGGTCTAAAGTGGATGGAATGATCCATAATAGCCACGGGTGGCGAGACATTGCCGAAAAGATATCCGGCTGCACTAGCCAACAGTGCCATGACCGGTGGGCACATATGAAGCGCCGGTACAGAGAAACTAAGAAGAAAAGTAACACATCGCTTGGAACGTGGATTACACCCAGCCAATTACCGACTTGATTTCAAGTCTAATGTGGCGGAAACACTGCATGATTTATATAACGGGTCTTTTGCCCTTATCCAACGTATATTAATAAGCACTGTATGCTCAATGCTTGTCCGAGAGCTTACGAAAAAACTTCACAAGCATACTCGGGTGGGACTCGAACCCACGACCTTCTGGTTACTAGTGCAAAATATCTTAACCACTCGACCACCGAGCTCGCTGGGGTCGGCTGGCCGGTACGAGTCAAGTAGTAAGCAGGAACGTTTTTATCAGATCATGTGATTTTTCCAGTCAACTGGTTTAATCCCATTCTGCCATTCCGATCACGTCTCAAATACATTTCAGGTCAGAACTACAAAAGGGGATTCACTCCCAGAAAAGCAGTCGATTTTGTGTAACACGCAGGATCTGTTTTAATCAATCACACATGAAGGCCACAAGAACCATTCGGTTGGGATGTTTGGTTATTGAGTTTGTTGACGGTGCTCTTGAGCGATTGGCCTGTGTTGTTGCTCGTGTTTCTAAACATAGATCTCATTGCAACAAACTGGTGACTGTTTCTCTCGAGAAAACGAACTTTGGACAGAAATAAACCTCGTACAATCGAATTAGGAAAAGATATATCCCCTAAACCGGACTTATAAACCGGAAAAAATATTATGAATGGCACTTGATGACACTACAGGGTTTCGAGCAAACTGAACACAACATATAACTGACAAAAAAATTACATAGGCTCAGTGCCTAAAATTGCACTGTAAACGTGCTGGATAAGATGTAGGGGGTCAAATTCCTCCCCTGCCTCCTTTGGGTTAACGTGTTACAAACAACAAAAGTGGTCAGTTTAATCACCAAAGCGTCATTTTATGACATTCCAACTACGACAGACCTTGTGGGATTCTAGGTTTACAACCTAGGTAGGCTTACAAATACAGCCCTGGATCTTGTCAACGGTGGATCTCGAGCTGGACCAAGAGAGGGCGCTATTTCCTTAGTAACATAGGCGCCTTTAGTTGTACTAGGCACAAAAAGGGACAAACGAATCTCCCAGGCACCTCGTGTAGCAGTGCTACATGGTACAGTACAAGCCTATGAGATTTCAGGTACCTTCATAGGCTTGGACTTAGATAGGCAGTATGGTTATAATAGTAACCAGGAACTAGACCAAACCCTTGCCGCCCACTGGACGCACGTTCAAACACAAATGGAAGCAGATACGTCTGGGTGGCAATTTGTAACAAAAAGAACTACACCATTGACTTGTGCACAAACCCACTGGTACACTGTGCTACAAACTGGGAATGGAAAAGTCAAGGGTGGAAATCTGTAGCCAAAAAAAAAAAAAAATGCGGTACACCATTGACTTGTGCATTAACTCACAGGGAACATTAATGCGCATGCAATTCTAAAGTCAATAATGCGCACGCGTGGGGTTTATAGCAGGTAGCTACAAACTGCCAGCCCTGTTTTCTTTCGTCCTATTTGTGCATCAATTGTCTTTAGTACTAACTGCACATCGCTGGTTCACGGACAACTATGGAAAGCACGCTCTTTTATAATTGAACGACGAAGGGGGCATTCTGCTCGAGGCTGAAAGCCATCCGTTGATTTGAGTACAACTGTGCGTTGTCATAATGCCAAAATTTGGCATTTCGGCATTGAGTGGGATAATTTCAAAGCTCCTTTTTAACGGCGATTGTTAAATATTAGCATTGCACAGTATTCTATATGACGTTTATGATTTCAAACATTTATTACATACAAAATAACTTCAATTGGTCTTAGACATAATGTTGTAACTTTTGTTGATGAAAAATGTCAAATGTATGTTATTAGTCTCTCTGTAACCTCTGCATCAAAATAAAACAAAATTGAACTTGGCATAGTTGGAAAGATTCAGTTGTTCACATTAAATCAAATTTTAATAGAAAGAGCTCCACGACCAACTATCAGCAATGTCTTTGGGATATAGAAATCATTAACGTCAGCACAACAGTGTTTCAGCTTTTCCTGCTCTAATTTTGATATTTTTATGAATAATTGTTTTTAAATCGATTTTAACGTACAATACATCAATCATTACTACGTGCTTGCAAAAATCTAACATTAGGATCTGATGGGAAATTTTGTGCGTGGCCATCAGAATTGAAGAATAGACACCGTCGCAATGATAATAGTATTTACAGCGTTTTATCCAGAAACACGGACTGATATTCTTGAAAATGTGGTACTGATGAAGTTGACGACGAAGACTGAACTGAAAGAAGAGTAAAGATGGACTATACTGGGGGAAATAATATAGTGCAGGCCGGGTGCTGACTTCCTAGAACATCCTTGTGTAGTTACGTCGCCTGAAGGCAGGCTGAAGAGAAAAATGTGTTTCATAAGTAGCATACCACGAATCAGCGACACCACACACTGCCATCGGCGGTTTTTTGTTTTGTTTTTTTGGAGGGGGGGTCGAAGAGGTAAAGGACACTTGCTCTACAAGTTATCGAACGTTCTCTTTGTCATTATCTCACTTCCTTTGGCTGATAAATGCAAACATTACAATAAAATGGATGTACAATCATTGGCAAGGTCTTGAAAACTGTACGTCAACACTTCCATTCAATGTGTATGTAAACTTTTGTCCACTGGTGTGTTTTGTGCTGTTTTAGTATTTTGGATAAACTAAGCGAGTAAACGTGGAACAGACTGAAATAAATAAATAAATAAATAAATAAATAAATAACCACATCTAGATAAATCTGGTTCTTCGACACTTCGAGCACCAAATCGCCAACAAACATTGGAATTTCAAGTAGCTCATACGAAAGATAACATTGTAAGAGTCAAACGTGTGACCTGTATACAGTAGGACTGCAGTAATCTCAAACTATCCTCAAATTCTTCAAGTATCGAAAACCTTCCTACTTCCTGTTGCCTCTTCTTTGAAGTGGCCTAAATTACAACAAACAACATATATAACAAACTTCAAATGTGTCCCCCACTGCACGGTTCAATGGCAGAAGTTAACAGCTCGACTTCAGTCAGTCTCCAGTCATGATAGAAGTTAATGACTTTATTCGACCTGAGGAACTGCAAGTGACTCGATTGGACTCTGGTCCTTCACCAATGCCGAAACTTTGCAATAAGAAAATTACGTGATTTATGTACACTATCTCGCAATTTGCTCCCGGCTCTCAGTTTTGGCTTCTTTGTCGCGTTTACATCTTAACAGGGTGGTTATGCAGACAGAACAGAGCAGTAAAGTATGGTTTCTCTCCCAACCAGCAAATACCAGTGGTCCAATGGTGGCCCAGGAGTGCCATTGGCCCATCGGTGGATCTGCTCATCGGCAAAGCAGTGGCCCATTGGTGGGTCAGGAGTGGCTGAGCGGTGACCCACTAGTGGGGTATGGGTGGCTAATTAGTGACCCACTGGTGTGTCAGAGGGGCTAAGCGGTTGCCCACTAGTTGGGTACGAGTGGCTAATCACTAGCCCACTGATAGGCCACTTGTGTTTTTCCAGTTGCTTCTGGTCGGAGACTGTTAGCGGAATATGAGCGGCCTACTGGTGGGTCAATTGTGGCTAATCATCAGCCCAAGGTAACTCACGCGCGGTCTGTTATGACGCATTCTTGAAAGCTGGATGTAGACCCTCCCTATTAGGATTAGGCGGACATTTTAGAGACAATCCTGGACAAACCTCGTTGAAACATGGCCCAATCTCGCCCCCTTTCAATGTTGTTTCTCATTGGGTAAGCTGGGCTTAATCTTATATCTTAACCAATAAATGACCGCAACATTGAGCGGGAGAGAGGGAAATCTTTTCATCGCTTCCCTCAAGGTGTTCCGAAAATTTTGTCCAAGATTGTAGCTTCGTAACTGCATCCCTCCTCTGCCTCTTCAGCCAGCAAATGAGTCAGGGGGTACGCCACCATGCCCAATCACTTTACACAGCCACCTACTGTCACCTAACACCCCCCCCCCATGTCTGAAAAGAATTCCTCAGGTTCCAGTGAAACAATGATCAACGAAAATGGGGGGGGGGTTCTCTCCGTCTCATATCTTGCTTTATATGTCAACCAGTGATACCCGATAACTACAAACGCAACAGTTCATTGGAAGTTCATGTAAATTAATTAGACTTGAAAGCTTTCAGGGCTATTTGATGTGCGACATGTGGCAAAGCGGACCCTCTATTGTGTCTTCCTTTATGTCGGCGGAATCTTTGGAATTCCTTTCAGATTTCCCGGCGGGGATAAATTAGGCACAATAGCCTTAGCTTATGCATCAAATTAGAATGGTCCCCGTTTGCCACACATCGTTTTGGGTGTATCCAGGAGCAAGGAGATCTTCTTTGTACAAGAAAAGAAAGGGAAAAGCAAAAAAGGATTACGTTAACAGTTTGCCCAATTCTTTGAGGTCTTTTATAGAATGGCCAATAACTCTGTAACGCACTTTAAATTGCGACTGGAATGAATATTATGGAGCTTCTAAGAGGCTACTGTTAACCCAGGCACATTTTGTCTACTTGAGTGTATAGCTGCATTTCATCTGTCTTAGAATTTATTTCAGAATTTACTTTATTCTCTTCTTAAAAGGCACTGAGGATTACACGTACACTTTGGATTAAATCATCCAAACTTTGCTGCACAACTCAGGCGCTCTTGCTGCAGTGTAACCAAAAGTATCAGCCGTTTCTGTTAAGAGTTTCATCAAACCCAGAATTAACTCACTAAAATATTTATGAGAAGTGTTAGTTGCTTCCTTGTCGCTTAGAAGTCAAACAATGATCACGAGTCCACTTTCCAGTCTCACCACACCTGCTAACCCACCTTCAGTACATGATACTTCTGCGGCCAACAATTTCGGAATCAATGAAATGTACTAAAACATGTACAAATGTAGAAACTACTCTAACCAAACCAATAGAAATATGCTCTTTATAATGCGTTTATTTCGTTATACCCATAGCACTAGCATGCATACTATTACAAGCTTCATCTACCAAGAAACAAAACAAAAACAAAATGTTGACATGACTTGCTACCACTGAAGGCCGTTATTTTACACTGAAATTAATGTTGTACTGTTAGCCATGCGTTCACCAAAAACTCACCCGGAATTGGAACGACTTTGCCCAGAGTGCAAAATAACATCTCTTTTATACATTGGTTCTTTCTTAATCCTGTTTTGATTTTCTTGTTATTTAATATCCTTTAAAGATCAGGTATATCGCTTAAGAGCTCCAGGCGTTGACCTTTGGTTAAATATGTGGTTTGTGCATAGGTTAAAGATGTGATTTTTAAAGTAATAACCACGCAAGCCTGAATAATCTGTCAATTTACGGTTTGTTTTGACTGAATTGTACCCGACTGTGGAACGGAAAAAAAGTTACCTCGGTGTGACAAGGGACGTAAACTGTTTATCAGGAGCGTCAGACAAGTTGGCTTTTGAAATATTTCAGCTGCTATCAGTTCTTCGTCATGACTTTAGCCAAACAAGTCATGACCGCGTCGGGTGTTATTCCGTACAGGGTGTGAATGCAAATTCTCTTTTGGAAATTCGGTTTGCTGTTTCATTAAAATATAAAACAATACAATTGACCCAAACAGAAAAAGAAAATCTTGTAAGGGCTTGAATAATTTCAGCTCAAAAACGAAATCCTTAGCGATGACGCAAGAGCTGTTAACATAAAGTCTTCGAGCTTTACAAACTGCTCATTCCTGCAACTACAAGCAAATAAAGCAACTTAACTCAGAAATCTTTGTCGTGAAGTTTAGATAGTTCCAAGCACAACTACACAAGCATACACGGGATTGTTCTTTTCAGATGACAGGTGCTTTAACAGATTCATCCATGTGGTCTTTAATTGAAATTTAACAACCCTTATAAAATATAAAATTAAAAATAATTGAGAAAAACTGTGAAAACAATTTTTTTAAATAGTCAAGGGGGAAACAACACGAAAATACTTTTCAAAAAGGCCGTTACATTGGACTTGCAGGCTTCATTATTTGATTTATTAGAAAGTTTCCACCAGTCATGGAGTTTCTTCTAAACATTGGAAACTAGTCAAACCCACTGTGAAATTCAACTGAGAGACAGTGACGAAAAAGTCGAGAGGTACCGGTAAATAAGGGGCGGATTGACTTCAACAATCTGTCTGAGGTCATCGTCGAACAAATCCCATGTAGGTGTCCTCAAAATCAAGTCTATTTACCAGCAACGACATCCATTACTTCAGTCACATGGCGGAGGAAGTCTGCGATTGCACCAGCCAGGTTAGGAGTGTGGACGGTAACAGAACTAGAGCACATAGGCTGACACACAGACTTTGCATCCTGTTTACATCAAATAAAGTAAAAATATACATAAGACGAGTGTCGATTTGAAACGTGAGATGTTGTTCCGTGCCGTGCTTTGCTTTTATTGAATGAAGTCGCATTAATATAATCATAATAACCTCTTAAATATGCATATAAGAAGTATCATTCAGCCGGGAAACGCCATTCGGCCACATGTTCACCGACTCAACATTACTGTACCGCATTATAAAACTGAAGTTTTACAGTAAGCCCAAGTATTTCCAGCTACTTACCAAGACAGTTCCGAGTGCCATGGCGAGCTTGTTCATTTCCCGCACGTACTGACGGCAGATTTGCCGAACACACGGAGACGCTGCCAGATCACAGTAGAAGTTCAAATACACGTCGGCAGTCATCTGTGATAACGATATACAACAAGATTAGGTTTATATGTCGCTTCTAAACAACTTATTCATATTGAGTCGCATTTATGAAAAGATGTGTTTCCTACTCCATTGTAAAAAACATTATGAATTTATAAAAAAAAATATTACCGTTGTTACATTTACATGAATGGCATCGAAATCAAACACATGCTCCCTATTGGCACTGATTCAGTCGCGTTGTAAAATCGGGACTGTGAAAAGAAGTCTTTTGAATATATCCGAATTAGCGCATTAGCTTCAACAAAGATTTCTTGCTCTTGTGCGTCCCATTCATTCCATTCAACATTTACTTACAATGAGCTGCTTGTTAAGAAGCATTTCTTTCAGCCAGACCACTGTTCCAGTGCAGACTCCACACACTGGGCCATCTTCGTTAAGCACACATGTATCTCCTTCTCTAAGCTGGACGGCTTTCGGTTGGCAACTTGGCAGGCTGCTGTTTCTTGCCGATGGGCAGATGTATCCACAGTATTTACGAGTGTCGTCCTATCATTAACAGAAAATACGGGCGATTCACAACAGTGTGCTTCCGAAAGTTTGCGACGCGTTGGCTAATCACAATGCGCAATGTCTGTCGACCCTTTTCAGACACGCATCGGATCGTCAGATTTCGTGCATTATGATTGGTTAGTGTGTTGGAAACTCTTGGAGGCGCGTGTATTAAATGTATCAAAGCCTCTGTGCGTACCCTCTCTACGGGAAATTTAACACAAGCTAGATCGACTATCTGAAGGATTGATGCAATGAGTGTGTCAGAGATGCAGATTTTATGCAACATTTTACTCCTCCTTCATAGATTGAAATTGCTCGATTTCTCATTTTACTTAAGTGCGCACTTTTCCCTGTCAGTAGAAAGTAATTCGGTCAGTTTGTCTGTTCATCTGTCCATCCGTTCGTTTGTTCTTCATTTGTGGTTATTTTTTGGGGGGGGAGCGGGTCGTCTTAAAATGACACATTTGCATAAATTATGAAACGTACCAAGTACATTGACACAAACAGCTTAACGTGGCCATATATTTCGTTGAAGTGGTCGACACAAGCCCCATGCTCTGGTTGTCCTTTGGGGACGAAAGGGCAGGTACAAAGTTTGCAGTACTCAATGTTGGTGCGCTGTGGATGCATGTGAAGAAACCAATATTTCAACATCAATTATTATATTTTCAAACCTTATGAAAAAAAAACACCCCGATCGATTGTTGAAACTTCCTATCAGTTTTTCGAAATGCCAGTGATTTTGAAATACAAATGGCACCATTAGTTCCAATCTGGACAGCATAAACCGAGAAGGGACCCCTCTCACGAATCCTGGTTGTCAAATCAGCCGCTGTAAGGCCCAAACCATAATTTCCCTGAACAGACATAATTATGGAAAACATTGAATCTAACTTTCTATTTACACTATAATAAAAACAGTTTCATTTTTTTTAGAGTGTTTTCACTTATTTCTACTCACGACAAACGCTGCGTTCATGAGTGAATCCTTCATGAACTGGTAAGTTTGCACACATATTTTGCAGCCTGCAGGGTCATCGTTACAGTCTTTGGATACCGGATAATCTGTTTTCCCAGGAGAAAAAAACAACAACCAATGAAATCGACACAAAAGAAATACAGAGGAATAAAAAGACAAAATTTTTAACTGCTGTAAAAGTAAGCTGACACGTTTACACGTACACTCGACGTTGCTGAGTAAACCAATGCACGACAGATACCCAGCAAACACACGTCCACGTCACACTGTAGGAAACCTGCTTTCATGGTTATTTTTTATTTCTGTTTTGAAGATTGAAATGAATGAAAGTGAAACATAAACAATTTATGGAAGATTATAAATTGTACGCAATACATTTCCCCAACAAGGAAACGCAGATCATGAGTAAAAAGTGAGAATTTTGATTTTAACTCATGCAGAGGTAACATTTCATCGACTTTTGTATTGTGGTGCAAAACATTGAGGAGCAGTGTGGATAATATTCCCAGAAGATAGAGTATTTCTGGGAAGACTAATCTGGTAGACCCGTTGTTGGCTTCAAAATGTTCTTTCAATGAATGAGATATGAAAAACAGCGCGGCACGCGCAAAGCCAGTAGTTAGAAAAAACAGGAGATACATGACAATATATCAGAAGAAATAGGCCCACCTTTCCCAAAGACAGAGACTGCCACTGTTGCCAACAGTACAACCACCAAGGTGCGGAACATTGTGCTGAATTTGTCGATCAGGCAAGGAAACACAGACGAGAAAGTGCAAATTGCAACCAAGATGCCCAGGCCGAGACTACTGAAGAAATGTCGCTTCGCTTTCCTTTTTATAACCTCCACCTATACGAATGTATTAGCCACTAAGATCAGAGCTCTGTAGCTCTGCAAACGGGCAAAAATATCGCACTGTTGAACGGTGCACCACCATTTCCAAATAATCATAGGTTATGTAAATAACCTATTTTAATATTCATTATGAAACGTTGAACTTTTTAAGTGAAAGTCACATGCAAGGATTTCAATCTTGCCACCCGTCTGTACACCCTATTATTCACTAAAGCTTTCATCCTGAAAACATTCGATAAGTGGGTTTTGGTCAGAGTGGCAAGAATGGCAATTAAGTACTGATTACATTGCTCTTCTCAGTAAGCCATTACCGTTTGTCACACTGAAAAGATTTCGACAAGGTAATTGTAGATTTATTGAGCCAGAGGACAAGATAGTCACATTGGAAACAGTTTATGTTGGGTTGTGATCATTTGAAAACCAGCCTTTGTCTGGTAAAACTGACAAGAAACTGATTCACTTTAATATTGATATTTATTGATTTTTAAGCTGATTTAACTTATTCCGTTTAACGTCGGACAGTTAACTGCAGCTCCTGTTGCCCTGTGAATTCCAGCCAACGGTCAAACCTTGACTAGCTCGATGGTCGAGTGGTGATGGGTTGACGTTGGTAATCGGAGCTAGCGCTTACATGCTCTAGGAACCATTGAAAACTTATGTACCCAGCAAGATATGGGACAGAAGGGTAAGCCCAACATGTTCACTCCCCATACACACTCCAGACTATTGTTACCTAACACGTTCCCTACCTGTCTGAAAATAATTCCTGAGATTTCAATCAATTAGTGAGCAACAATGGTGGGAAAGGGCGCTCTCCGTTCCATATGTAGCTTCAAATGTGAAAACCTGCCTAGATGCATTGTAATTGTTGTTTACAAACACATAGGCCAAAAAAAGTTTATTTTTTCAACATGGCAATGTTTCGAAGAAGAAAAAGCAAAACCTGTTGCTCCATGCCGTCTTCTTGTCACCATCTTCGTCTCCCAATCCCTATTCTATCTAGCTGGGCAGAAATGGGCTACTTTGCCTACATTGACAGCGGCTCACGTGCCCTCACTCTTCAAATACCGCTTTTTTTACATCTATTCTTTTCAACCACTGTCCTACCAGACCTAAAATCCACCAGTCAACAGAAATTACTCAGATTGTAATCACATCAACCTAATTCAGCCGTCGTGGTCTCTGATAGATTTTGAGTGATTTGCCTGATTTTTTTTTTCGGGAGTTGGGCAAAACCTACATAGGAGTTTCTGTATGTAAACTTTTCACAGCCTTTCTGAAAAATGAGGTTGTAAAATCTGGGAGACATTTACAAGCCTGCTATGGAAGGAAAATGAGGTCCTCCCAAAGCAGGATCGAGTTAAGATTTTAGGCTAAACTCGGTGCTTCAAGTCATCTTCGGAAATTTGAAAGTTTGAAAACCCCAATGTGAAACAAAATGAGATAGAAATCTTGCTCTACGACGCAATGATCTGGGTCTCCTCAGCGAAACAATCTAAACCCCTGAAGTAAAAAGCAGTATAGCAGTAAAGCTCGACTTGTTTTCTTTCACATACCGTGTGTCATAACGAAAAACCAAGAAATAAAATCGTTTTCGTCGACAAGACTTTTTCATCAACGAGTGCACGAAGGCACTCTTTATCAGAGAAAGATAAGAATAGTACAAAAACCTTTAACATCACTCATCAACGATGTTTGGAAGAAATCTTGCCCACTGCAGCAGCTTTAAAAAATATACAGAGATGTTTACATGATGGTAACTACCATGTCATATGCTTTTAAAAAAATGGAAACTTGTAAATCGTTTATGTTTTTAAGTAAAAATCTTTGGAAGCTGTACACGTTCAAAAGTTTTTTCAACTTCTTACAAGAGCTTACAATGTAAAACGTTCATGCAGTATAGATCGTAAAGAATTTTTCAACGTTTGGCATCAGAACCTAAAAGTTTCCACCTTGAAACTAAACATTTAGGTCGAGTCTCTCACTTTAGTTGCCCTTAGAAAACACCACACAGTTGCAAGCACAGATGGCTGGACGAAATCCACAGATTTCCATCGACAATGTGGAAAGAGAAGACTTCATCATCAAGTCAGCCAAACAAGAAAAGGAAATTGTTAATATTTTTCTTACTTCTTAAACGTTGTCAATATTACAGAGTTTGGAGAAAAATCAAACACGTGTTCAGGTTTTAAAATCCAGTTTGGCGTTGGACTTTCCTGTTCAAATGGGAGTAATATATTTTATAGAGACAGTGTTATTAGCGCTCTGCTTTGGATTTCCTTTGGAGTGGTCATTTCGTTCCCTCTTTTTTATCAAAATTTGATGGGATGTCAATGAAAAACATTATTCAAAGAATGTTCCATTCATTGATTAATTTCCTAGTTTGTCACATATCTAGTGAAATAATTGAATGCCCGCTGTTAGTGTGGAAGGCAGGGGTTTGTAGTAAGCTTTCATAAGACCTTGCAGAACACCTTCCATATCTGTTGCCGAACATCCTTTATCTGTCGGTGGCGTTGTGTACTCTTCCTTCGCTGCAAAATATCCTTAAGTGGTACTAGAATGCGATATTTATTTGTGTGTATCTGAGCATGAAAGATAATGTTGAAAATACTTCACATTTCAGTCAGGGGAGCCAGCGATACGTCAGTGGTACGAAAAAGGAAAAAGATAATTGTATAAATATATATGGACAGCATTTCAAAGTTAAGGTAGACCGCGGTTTGTAATGCACTGGTCGTAATGTGCTGTTTTATTCTTTAAGGAGAAATGGGACGAAGTCATACCGTAAAGTGTTGGTAAGAAATACATCATGTCAGGTTTTCCGGGTAACACCGCGTTTAGGGATACCCTTGTCCAGTGATTTTATTCTCATATCATTCAGCTCAGTCTGAATAATGTTGGTGAAGCAAACCTTAAACGGTATAGAAAATCAATAAAGGATAATAATTGACTAGAATATATTGTAATAACTCCCTCTTCTAGGCTAATATGAAAAACAGTCCTCGATTAGCGAGGTAATCTGGTATCAAATGATTTCGCACTTGAACTTAAATCACTGAAGAGAATCATCATGCCCCCCAACGTTATATTAATCCAAAATCACACTCAATATATTGAGCGCCCTAAGTGCTATTTGAATGAATCTTCAATACACAAGCTCTTTCAAAATCAGACACAACAGTGCGACTTGAGAACAACACCAAAGTTGTCTTTAAATCTCTTCCCGTCACGAACCTCAAATTGTATAGCCACGATCTTTACATAAGTTTAATCTGACACCCGTGTCATACCGGCGTTCTAGAGTCGCGCCAAACAAATTTAAAGGCATATTTTGAATTCAAAACGGCAAAATCTCGATGTCTCAAACAACCAAGAGCAACCAGACATACCAGCAGGCGAAGGATCGACACTTTGGGGCGCTTGGAACGACAACAGGGCAACTGGGTCTCAGGCGGCACTCTTTTCACGGGCCGAGCCCAAGGTAAATGTGTGTATCAAGTTCGTCTGTTTGAAACCCAAATTTCATTTGGTCGACCCGAGTCGCTCTTAATTCTACTTGGTTCGGCGCAACCCTAAAGCCTCTGTCTGAAACTGGTGTTACAATTGCGGCGATGAGGTGCAACCTCGTATGCCAAAGAAAAAAAATGCGACGAAGATCCACAAATGCAAAGCCGATCCAAAAATGCGAAACAAAATTCAGACATGCGACGGCGGTTGCACATTACGGAATACCAGAATTTAGAACATCACAATGAGCTGAGTTCAAGAATATCGAGTTACGTTTTCATAATTTTCAGTCAGACAGCTTTGAAAGTTCGAAAACCGCATTACGAAACAAAACTCCCACGTAATGGAGACCTTTGACTTTGATGCAGGCATAGTTCAGTTCAAAGGGGCCTGATTGATGTGAAACAGGTGGTGCTTGCAAGCATTCGCCTCGCTCTGGATATGGATATACCATGTTCCCGGCAAAAGGGCGTCAGCGCGCTTACGACCTTTTGCTTTTCACACGACGACACATGGCTAATGCATTTACCGGTAACGGCTTAAAGTCGACTTGATCTATGCATCACAAAGAAGGCACTGTGTTTAAATTATTTCTTTGCTTGCTAGCTACATGCCAGGCACACAGAAAGGTTTCCGAACTTAACACCAAAGTTCACTCCCAGTGCAGGTGGATTTATCATTAATCACAGTGATCTTTTTCTGCCTCTAGGGATAGGAGTTTTACAAGTTATGACCGGTGTCCCACGGTCGATGGAAAAAGGTTCTTCCCCCTGGAATCACTGTGCTGTAGAGGTACAAGCATGGTAGGTCGGACAGCATAGTATTTCATGGACAATGAGAGATGTGAAGGCTACACTGGTAAACCAGACAAAAGAATTGAAAAATGTTCTGATTACAAGTTACATATTCGGTACGTATACAAACCCCTCACTATGAATTATAAATATTATTTTCTTGGCTGATGGTAAGGCCCGACAAAAATACCCCCCAAAAGTTCTTAGCATCACATCAATGACCAAGTTATTGATACCTGGCCTGATTATACAGTCACGAGGCACGTTTAAGGATCCCTCGATGCTGCAATATGTCCACGACGGACTGGCGTTAGACGTCCTAAAGCTATCCGGACGTACTGCGTTAGACATCCTAAAGCTATCCAAAAAACCTAAATATAAACGTCTACATATTTTTACTTCATGACAACATCATGACAAAGGACATGGTAGAAGAAAAGTGTTATTTGGGTGTGATCCCTGGCAACACGGTGTTTCAGGTTTAATGGTTTTTTGCTAGCGCCACTCGAACAGAGATATTGACAAATGGGAAGAACCATAAACATAGGGCTCGATAGCTCAGTTTGTAGAGCACTGGTACCGTGTTCCAGAGGTCGCAGTTTACAATCTCCCTCCAGTCAATTTCTATATTCATCTTTACTATTATTTATAAGCACCTATTCAGTTTCCCTATGTAGTTTGTTCCATAAGACAAATGAAAAGAGAAGAAACAGA